ACGCACACCAAGCACGACAACTTGCAAAGAAGTACATCCGACATATCGGACATAAGGCACGACGACAGCAAGGCAGTAGCCAAGTGGAGTTAAGAAAGAAACACATCGTCAAACTTTTAATATTCCCATGATTTATCAGCACACCCACCATCACTGGTGTACCTTCGATTCCCTTCTGCACGTCATCTGTTGCAGCACATGTGCCAGAAACATTCGTTGGGCGTGGTGTGAGCATATCAAAGCCTGCTCCACTCCGGACCGGGGGTCATACTACACCTCACCCGGTATGCCCACATGTCACCCTATGGTCCACAAAACCATCTGAGCCCCTTGTAACTCAAACATACAACGAAAAAATTTCCTAGAATTAAATAATCATTCTATAGTGAAATTACATTCTATATTTTAAATTTTAATTTCATCTTAAAAAATGTCATTCCAATTCTAAAATTTTTCGTCTTACTTAAAAACTTTCCTTCCAATAATGGGGTATCCCTTCTTATTTGAACTGCAAGCAAAAGATGGAATGAAAGTGTGGACGCGTTCATGAAATATTTTAATTGGACTGTCATTTTAAGTAAGGATTTTCAGTCATAAATAGGTTAATCCAATCTAAATTAGAAGATATTTCTTGTAGTACAATGAAAGTTTAATTAAAACATTTCATAAACTCGTCCAAACTTTCATTCCATCTTGAACAAATAGATATAGTTGGAATGGAAAACTCATATTTAGACGGGATCTTATCAAATAAAACTGAAAATTTTAGAATTGGACGAACATTGGAATGATAATTTATAAATATGAAGGATTTTTTTTTTATGGAATGTTTTTTCAACTTTCATTTCTCGTGGGAATTTTTCTGTTGTACGTCGTAAGACAAGTAATCTACGATAGAAAAAGACAGATGACATTACAAATCGGCCTGACAAATACAAGAACACTCGCTGAAAATAAATTAATTATCTGATATGATTCACGCGTGGTAGTGTCAGCATAGCATGATGGATGTACCTTGTCAAGTCGCCCTGCCTAAGGAGCTGCGATGCGTGCGGGAGGACCCCAATCTGGCAGACCTTGAAAAGTCGTTGCGGACGACCCTCGCTGCTGCAGTTACTGTGGGATAACGACCCACCACGTGCAGTTCCCGCATATGTCCGTAGTCAAATATGTGCACAAAACAAAGTGACATTGGAGTGAACATTAGTGTCTGTCCTTGTGAAGGTGGACTGTCCTTCCATCGACGCAAATAATGTGTTGCACGCATCTCTTTTCCAGCTTTGCCTGTGGCAATGGCACAATGACACATTAAATGAAATTAGCAACTGATTGATTGATTGATTGATTGCATGACTGGTTGACTGACTGAGTGATTCGTAGGACGGCTTAGAACACAACTTAACAAACAGACACATACACACACACACACACACACACACAGATAGAGAAATACATCGATTGTTTCATTGAAAAAGGAAGGGGGGAAATTGCTACAACAGACTAGGACAACGAAATAAAAACCATGGCAGTGTCAGCTGAGTAGAGCGGACCGCTGTAGTTTTTTTTTTCGATGTTTATATATTATGTTCAAATGGAGGAAAGCAAACAACACATGGGCATAGATAAGGGCAGACTCACAATATGACTTTGCAGATGCATTTGACTGCAATTCTGGTCCCACTCGAATGAACCTCACTGAAATGCACGTCCAAAGTTTAGTACAAATCATGGTGTGAGTACGTCCTTGGTTGGTACACCAAGAACTACGCAGACACACACACACACACACACACACACACACACACACACACACACACACACACACACACACACACANACACACACACACACACACACACACACACACACACACACACACACACACACACACACACACACATACACACACACACACACATACACACACACACAAGCACACACACACAAACAAACGTTGAGAGACAGCGATTCGTCCGCGACTGCCATCATCTTCTTCGGTTTGTCATCATCTTTTTCAGCGTCGTGCTCTCACCCTTCTGCCCAAGTTGTGGAGCAGGTCTCCTGCACCCTCGTAGCGACTATTTGGTTTTTTATGTCGTTGCGGTCGTTGTTCGTCACATGTATTTTCCTCACATTCCTGCTTTTCATCCACTGTGCTCAAGTTCGAGGCACGACGATTGCAGTCCTTATTTGTTCGTGACAAATATTCGTCGCCAAGTCCTTCAGTCACGTTGAGTGTCTTCCCCCTCCCCACACAGGTCCACCACCTCTACCTCACTGACCTTCTCCTTCCCTTTGTCGTTGTCATCCTCCTTGCTGCTCCGTTGTTGGACCTCCACGTCCCTTTCCCTGACGATGTCCACATTCTCCTTATTTCGCTCCTCATTCGTTTCCTTTCTCTCTTCTTTCTCTCCCTTATCCTTGCTCTCATCATCCTCCCCCCGCTCATCCCCTTCTCTGCCGCATTTTCGCCTTCGTCATCCTTGTTGCCCTCACCATCTCGCTCGTCATCCTCACGACCACTATCCTCTTCGTCATCGTCGTCCTCACTATCGCCGCCGTCATTTCCGGCCACACCCTCGTCCTCCAAAAAGCCTTCATGCTCATGCGCTGCGTGTTGGAGGCCCTTAAAGTCAGAAATAGTTGCGCCGAAAACACCAAGATTATCGTGCTCATCCCCGAACTGCTCATGACGTTGAGGTCGTGTCGGACCAACACGTTCACGGGTGACATCACATGCAATGGGCACGTCGCAAGGGCGCACTCCACCAGCCGGTCCCGGTGTTCTACACCTATGGGGGTTGTGGCCATTGAGACCACAAAGGGAGCACTTCTGCTTCGTTTCCTGTGGCCGGTGTACTCTCCCTCTCTCCAAACAACCTTTGATTCAACTCCCTTTTGGAGGGGCACCCTTTCTGCCGCCTTGTTATAGGTGGCAAGATGACGGGCTCAGTTTCCGGGGAGGGTTTTGCACACGCAAAACATGTAGGGTACACAATGCCGGCGTACGTAGCTCGCAAAGCTCTCGTTGTGTAAAACTGGTCCACGTACATTCGAATCTCTTCTCGCCGCGAAATGATGGCAGCTGCAGCGTGATCGCACGGACGATGCGTGTCCTCCCAAAAGCGGCAGGTGCACACCACTTTTCTATTTTCAAACTCCACCCGCCACGACTGCCGCCGACCTTGTGAATCGTTCAAGTACAGCTCATACACGTCTCGTGCGGCTTTTCGAATGGAATATTTCCTCACCAACTGCAAAGTAATGGCGAGGATGTCTTCCACGACCTCAGGGTGATCCCCCACCTACGCGTCCGCTTCATCTCTTCATTCCGTGTGCCATCTCTGCAACCATCCTCAGTACTCCTCGATAAGTGGGATCGGCGGCATCCCCCGAGCCTTCAAGAATCTGTTGTTCGTTGACTCGGAAACTTGCGACGTCACCTTCCCATATCTTGGAGAAAGGAAATGAGGCCCTCCCCAATGTCTCTTGCCCGCTTTCTCAAAGATCTTCTCCGCAATGTTCTTGTCTTTCGAAAAGTCCTCAACGCGCTGCATGTAGTAGTCAAACACTATCTTGCTGGTGCTTCGCGCTGCTTCAAGGAGCATCTTTGCCTGCTCTTTGTTGACCCTCAAACTCTTTAGCAAGTTATCGCTAACATGACGGACACAATACGCGTGGCGGTCATCACCGAATTCTTCGCTAACCGCCGGAATGAGTCCTTTGTCGCGGTCAGACATTATCGTGATCATGTTGTGAGGCACGTGAGCGGCATCGCAGACGCGCTTTAGAAGAACCAAAAACCGTTTCCAGTTCTTCTCGTTCTCTGCGTCAACAACTGCATACGTGACGGGGAAACACTGGTCGTTCGCGTCTCGTGCAGTTGCGCGAAGAAGGCAACACTTATACTTCCCCCTAATATGGGCCCCGTCCAGCACAAGCAACGGCCTGCAGTGTGCAAATCCATTCACCGAAGCAACGAACGCAAAAAAGATGCGGACAAACACGTTGCCATTACATTCGAGTTCGATGATGGACCCTGGGTTGGTCTCACGCACGACCCTGCAGTACGTGTGCAAATGAATATACTCGGCCTCCGGAGCGCCTTTCAATTCCTCGACCAATCTCGCCCTTCCTCTGACGCACTTGCTGAAGCAGACGGGGGGGTTTATCGTTCCCGCAAACCATTTCATTAAATCAGTGGTGTTAATCTTGATCTTCTCTTGTAATTTCTTCCGCACCATCAGCTCCACCACTTCAGCTTTGCGTGTTTATTGCCTGCTGCTTCCCGAACCGGCACTCTGCAACCGGGGAGAAGATCGCACCGCTTGTACTGAAAATGGGTGCGGTGCGATCTTCTCCGCTTGTACTGAAAACCCTTCGGGGCCTTCGCAACGGCGACAAACTTAACTGTTTCACGCAAGGCGTCCATGGACTCATAACGACATCCCACCTGCAACGGCCGCACGTCTCCAGTGATAGCATATTGCGTAGAGGGTTCATCTGCTGATGTGGTTTTTTTTTTCGCCTAGTCCAACGGACCCCCGATTACATATAAACCCGACAATTGTTCGGGTACCTACACTTCATATTGCCGAAAAGGCGGACAAATCAATGTCACGCAAATTTTAACCCGCTTGCTCTACAATTGGGACGACCATCAACAAATGCAAACGAACGAACGAGAGAGAGAGAGAGAGAGAGAGAGAGAGAGAGAGAGAGAGAGAGAGAGAGAGAGAGAGAGAGAGAGAGAGAGAGAGAGAGAGA